AATAGTTTTGAATGATGGCAGTATTGAAGATGTGTCCATAAGCAGATTCGATGTGGAGTGCATTGGAATTGTGGAGACCAAAGATGGTTTCTCCATATAAATACTGAATTTAAGCTGACAGTATGGTTTTTCTTGAGTGGAAACATCAAACCATAGTCCTTACTAGACATCCAGGTTTCAGTGGAATGTAGGCTCCAGGATAGCAAGGACTTTATCTGTTTTGTTCACTGCTCTGGTCCTTAAAATAATTTCTGCCTCAGAGTAGACGCTCAGTCAGTATCTTTTAAATGGTTGACTAAAGAGTAGATTACGTTGATACCAGGAGAGGAGCTCTCTCAATACATACATGTAGAAATATGAGGGTGTTTCAAAAAGTTCATGGAGATATGGAATTGAAAGATTATGAAATTTTCCCATAAAGTTTTCAAGCCCCTTCATATTTTATAAAATACAACAACTTAAAAAAAATGCAAAGTAAAACAAAAAAATGCAACATCAGGACCAAAAACAAAAAAGGAACGGGACTATCCAGATACCAAAAATGAAAAGAGGTATCAAAACCAGTTAGTAGTTGGGAGTTGATGCTAAAGCTGTGTTTTGAAATCTGGTACCTTTATATAGATCCAGAGGCATGGGACTGGGGGATTGAAACTTGGAGTTCTATGTCCATAGAACAATAGCACATATGGAGTTAGAGTTGCAGGAAGTGGGAAAATAGGAACCAAGACCCCAAATAAAACCTACAACAGCTGCCCCATCTGACAACAGAAACCAGGGAACACAGAAACCACTATCCAGAGAAGCAGAGAACAAGCTTGCAGTTTCTCTGGCACTTTTGGTGGAAAGGACAATATAAACAAATCCCTAGAGAAAGACTGAAACCCAGACCTGAGCCATGAGTCTGATTTGGGTCCAAATTTTTATCAATTGGATGGGGTAGAAACTTCAAGGTGGGAAATTAACATAAAAATGGATCCAGACAAATGATACTCTAGGAGCCCAGAAGTAAATGCAAAACTCCTATACAGAAATTCTCCCAATCCAGGACACAAGGCATAGAAATCCATGCTTCTAGGATAATCAGTCAGCTGAAGATGAGTTCACAATAAGCATATCATAAACCATACAAGAAAATAAACTCTGAGGGAGAATCAGCAGATATAATAAATAGAAGTTTTGAAAAATCCAAGAATGGGAAATAATAAAACAATTTGAGTAAGACTATAAGGTTTAAAATTGTTACACCAATCTAAAAAGATAAAGAAACCATAATAAAAGTGCAAGACACAAGCAAACAAACAAAACAAAACCAGGTAGATTTGAGAGCGTACTAAACAGTTTTTTTCTAGAAGTGAAAAATATGGTAATTCAAATAAAACTATACAATATTTTGGTTTTATAGTAGGTATATTAGATACAGATTAGATAATTTGGAAGATAATTTGAAGAATTAGGACATAAAATAGTACTGAGGAGTCTTAGTAGGATAGAGTAGGATAAGCACTGGACTGAAAATTTCCTTTGAACCACAAGTTTGGTGATTCAAACTTACCAGCCTCTCCTCAGAAACCCTATACAGGGTCCCCTCTCTATGAGTCTGAACTGACTGATTCAACAGCACTCAAAATCAGCAACCACAACATAGTACTGAGAGATACTTATGTAAAAATATAAAGAAGTATTTTTGAGACGCAGAAGGTGGAATAAGAAGGTCCAACAACTGAGTAATTAGAATACCAAACCAGAACAACAATAATGGCAATAACAATGATTTGTTGCGTTCTTTTTATACCCAAACATTTTGTGTCTATTATTTCTTTAAGCCTTCACAATGCATAATGGACAGGTTGTTATTGTTGTTAGGTGCTATGGAGTAGATGAGGTGCATACTGTGATTATCCTTATTTTATAATAGAGGGAATTGAGTCACATGGTAAGAACAGGGAATTGGGACAGAGACAATATCTAAAGAGATAATAGATGATCACTGGATTTGAAGAACAGAATTTAGATGTAAGGCACATGTCAATTGAGTAGAAATTTTAAAATCCTTGATAAATAGGGAAAGTACCCTTGAGATTGGAGTCTTGGTGTGGTGCTGTTGGCTAATGTGTCAGACTAGAAAGTTGTTTGAACTGCAAGGTCAGTGGTTCAAGCTCATCAGCTGCTCCTTGGAAACTCTATACAGGGTCGCTATGGGTCAGAATCGACTTGACAGCACTTAACAACAACATCAACAACCATTGAGATTAGAGGTTTCCAGAGGTGAGAGGAGGCAGAACCATTACAAAGTCTGAGTCACGTGCTACTAACTGAAAGGAGAATTATGGTGTTGGAGGAGAATATTGAAACTGCCATGGACTGCCAAAAGAACCAACAGATCTGTGTTGGAAGAAGCGCAGCCAGAGTGTTCCTTGGATGGCCAAACTTTTGTCTCTCATACTTTGGTCATATTGCCAGGAGGGACCATTCACTGGAGAGGGATATCATGTCTGGTGGAGAGCTAGAGAAAAAGAGGAAGATCCCCAACGAGATGGATTGGCAGCAGCGATGGGCTCAGGCACGGCGATGATTGTGAGACTGGCCCCGGACCAGACAGTGTTTCATTCTGTTGTGCGTAGGGTCGCTACCAGTTGGTACCAACTCGATGGCACTTAACAACAACAATAACAACAAGAGTTGGGCCATGACAACGTAGAGAAGTGAGAAGAAAAAAGGCACAATTCCTATCCCTTATGGTTCTCCCAACGGGGAAAATTGAGTTTTATTAACAGTTATATTTCATTGACTTAAGAAGTGAAGTTCAACCAGGGGAACATGAAAACCATGCTTGACTGGAGTTCACCATTAAGCTGGATCCCATCATCTATTGTCTCTTTCCTGAAATCGCACATTGGAAGAGGAGGAGTCCATGCATCAATTTACAGGGTTTATGTTATAGGCACAAAGGGTTTATGTTAGACTACCAACGTAAAGGTTGGTGGTTCAACCCACCCAGCAAAAACACTGCAGAAGAAAGGTCTGCTGATCTGCTTACATAAAGATGGCAACCAAGAAAACTCTATGAAACGGGTCCACTCTATAATGCATGCATTTGTCAGGAGTCAGAATCAACTTGACAACAAGAAGTTTTGTGGGGGAGTGGGGTGGGTGGGTTTCATATGCTTCAGTTACAAAGACCAATCTGAGTGCCAGGTGTCATGCGAGACATATCTCAAATCAACTTGGGACAATATGCAGTCTCCTACATTCACCCACCACCTGTGTCCTTCCTCTCCTTTCCCTACATAGAACATACTTCACTTCCACAGACACTTGCCGTTTCACTACAGCCAACTTCTGCTGTGGCCTAAACATTGTACAGTGAGGGACAGGATTCACAGAGGGAGAGTGTTCTCTGGTTGAGTTATACACATGGTCCTAACCTGAATCAATCTGGGCTTGTTCCTCAATCACTGGATTACACAGGATATAATCATTCTTCCTGTAAAACTGACTTTGTACCAAAATCTCTTCCCATTTGATGAAACCGAGAAGGAAATGGAAGGGCAAGAGGGATTTCACAACTTGCTACACCCCAGAGCCAGGTAGTGGAATCAAAGCCCTTTTAGCTTGAATCCTCCCAGATATTTTGATCCCTTCTAAGAGATGGAATGGACTCAGTGGTGGTGGGTTGGGTTTTGACCATTGCATTGCACCTTCCATGGGATGCAGGTAGCTCTTTGGAGGCCCATGGACACTTGGGTTTCATTCTCACCCTTCATTGGCTGCTAAAGATACCACATGATACTGGAGCAAAGACCAGGGTGCTGTCAAATGCTTCCTTAACCCAGCTTGAGCCAGAAAGGAATTGGGAAAATACCAGCAACAACAGTCTCTGTCACGCATATTTTGAAAAGTTTCTATCAGTCATTTGTTTCATTCCTCTCCTGCACTCTACCCATCATTTAACTGAAAAATGCATATTTTCAAGCTATAGTGCACTTTCTCCATAAAGCTGTTCTTAAACATATGCTACTTTATAAGCACAAAAGCCTTTGTTTGGGAAGAGCAACCAATTAAACAAGTTCTTATTTCAAGAGCCCCAGACTCACGCCTGCTGAATAGGAGATTTCCCAAAAGAAAGCCGCCTAATCTTTAAGTGGCTCTGTAAAGGACATCTCTGCGGTATAGGAGGGAGCACTCATAAATAAGCTACTCCTTAATAGTTAATTATCTTTAGCAGTGAGAGCTGTGAAATCTAAAATTTCAAACACGATAGCACAGATTGGTTTCGGTCCATGCTGACTTATGAGTGGCAACATAACACTCATAAGAGGAATCACGTCTGTTGTTCTGTGTACAATTCATTCAATTACCATGAGACGAAAACAGCAGTCATCAGTTAGTCAAGGTTCCGAAAGAAGAGGATCATCAGCTTGAATTACTGATTTGGAGTATTTGGTCAAGGATCTTCTTTTGATACCAACGTGACAATGTTTGGACATGACCGGTGTCTGAAAGATCTCAAATTACTTTATTCAGGTATTCATTTATTTATATTGTCTTTACCCAAATATGTGTCTTAAAATAATGTAGTAAAAAGTGTGCTCCACTGGAACCCAGGAGGAAAGAATCATTTCTATGGACTCGGTTCTTCTTAGCAGTTAGAAAACACGTCAAGAAAGCAGTCCATAGTTTCTGAAGACCTCTCTGTTTTTCTTATCAATGACTTCTTTATTGGGGTGGAGTGGGGGAGACTCCAAATGATCATTTCAAAGGCAAACTTGAACCGTGTCAAATTAGCCAGATGCAGTTGATCAGCATTTTTTACCAATGTGAGGGCTACTTTTGACCAGTTAATTCATTTCTCATATGCCAATATAATGTTAGATGAATTAAACTAAATATTTATATTGTTCAACTAGGCCTTTGATTAGTAGACTTTCACACAAAGACAAGACAAATGTTGTTGATTATTATTAATTTTTTTTTCAACAATATAATCTTGTATTACTCACCGACCCAATTCCAGTTTGAAGAATTTTCAGTCCAGAAGTTTCTTCAAGTTTGTCTTTGTTGTCAACTGTTAAGGGAAAAAAAAAGGAAAAGGAAAACAGGTGTTACCATGGAAAGTCATGGGCTCTGGAAATACATTCAAGCATTTTCCTCTATTGAAACATTCAATGAAATCTATGCTTATATCATCTAATTAAACAATAAGGTTGTGGTGTGACAACCAGAATCATGAAATTAGCCGGAAAATCTTGAGTTTGAGGCCCTGATTTTCCATATCAGAGTTGACTGTCCTGCATACCCTGAATTTCAGCTCTAAAAAATATAATAAGAAATCACAGAATATTATGAAGACTGATGAGAAATTGAATGTAGACAAATGGTAAATTCTTGTTTTAGGATGATATGGTGCGCTGCTGCGGGTTATTGTGCTGAACTGCAAAGATGGTTTGAACCACAAGGTCGGCTGTTCAAGCTCATCAGCTGCTCCTTGGAAACCCTATACCAAGTTGCTATGGGTTGGAACCGATTCAAGAACACTCAGAAACAACAATAATAGCTGTTGATTGTTTAGTTATTTGGCAATATATTTCATTAATCAGCATTGCATATTGGTAAAAAGACTCTTCGAAAGGTCAAGTTGAATGTATATATTTATTTAATGAATACTGTGAAGTATTTTATTCCCTCTTATTCATGTCCCTACAAGCAACATTCTATAATAATTTAGTTCCAGTAAAAGCCTCATCCTACTGTGCTCCTTCCTGACTTGGAATGAGGCAGAATTCCAGAAAATGAATTACATGCAATATCTTACCCAAAGAAATTAGTTTTGGCAACAATTAGCAGATGTAAACGAAAACTCAGTAATCCTAATGCAAACACTGAAAACCTACCAGCCGCCATTTCATCCAGAAGAAGTGATGTCACAGTAGAATTGACCTTGGATTATGGTTCTGTAGAAATATTCTTTTGGATAAAGACCCTGTCATTTTAGACATGAAAACCAGGAAAGAAATATAGAATTTTATTGCAAACACTATGAATGAAAAGTGCATTGCAATTGTAATTAATGTAGAATGAGATGGGAAGAAAATAGCAATTACTGTCACCTCTTATTGTAATACACCTACGTTAATCTTGGATAATGAGATTATATCATTTAGAGGTATTCAAATGTGATCCTGTTATAGTTTGCCTTTCCCACCTTTTGGGCCTTTTCATTGTTTGATAGAAAGTTTTTTCCTTTGGAACACTATTACTTTTTATATATCTACTGAATTGACAGTGTAAGGCTGGGTTAAAGCAAAAGCACTTTAAGATATTTTAAGATTGGGGAAGGGTGGGGGGAGCAACGACACAGATGTAAACCTTGAATGGCAAGATATTTTTTTTTTAAGATAGCATATAAAGCAATCAATTTTAATGTTCTACTAACAAAGGGAGGATTTTTACTGAATGGTAAGGTACTTTTTGGGGGATAAGTTAGTGAACCCTTTTTAAGCTTAGGAACACAAAGCACATAAAAATGGAATTAAAACAAAACAAAACAAAATACTGCATTTATTGCCACAGAGAAGGAACAGATTTCAGACAAGGAATGGGGTGGGGTGGGGTGGGGGAAAGAACTTGCCCAGTAATAATGTTACTGTTGTTAAGTGCTGTGGAGTCTGTTCTGACTCACAATGACCTTGCATAGGGTTTCTGAGGCTATAAATCTTTATGGAAGCAGAAAGTCTCATCTTTTTCTGGTGGAGCAGCTGGTGGGTTTGAACTGTGGACTTTGTGACTCGCAATCCAGTGCTTGTCCTACAACACCACTAGAGCTCCTTCTTGTAGTGCAGAAACACACATATAAAACTTGAATACTTGTGGCTTTGTTCCAATAAAACTTAATTTACAAAACAGGTGGTGCACTAGATTCGACCTCTAGGCAGCAGTTGGCTGACCCCTGGTCTAACCCATCCTCTTCACTGTGATGCAGGGAGCTCATAAGAAGTCAGCCTAATGGGGCCTATTTGCCCAGGCATCTTTCATGGCTCCATCTGATGCAGGATACCATTCAGACTCTTGAGCAGAGTTTCAAAACCCTTCAAACTTGTGACTTTTGCCAATGTGTACAGCCTTACCCCCACCAAGCTAGCTGCTGCCGAGCTGGTGTCTTGAGTTGATCCTGACCCAATCTGTGTCAGACTACAACTACAGGAATTTCAGCAGCTACTTTTTTGCCCTTTCTCCTGAGATACCTCTAGGTGGCTTTAAGCCACCACCCTTTTGGTTAGTAGCTCATTGTTGAATGGTTTGCACCATCCAGGGACCCTTTGTTCTTGTCAAACCCCTAGAATTCAAGCTGGTTTCTTTGCTCCAGACACAGCAGCTGGTTAGTTTTAGGCACAACACACTCCCATCTTCTCCATTTGGTGCAAACCTCAGGTTTCCAGATCAACTCAAGTGCCACATCTGCTACAAATCCTTCCCTGTGCCTCCTTCCCTCACATCCTGAATAACATTTGTTATATCCTCTGTGTCCTACTGCCCTGATGGTTCTGTAGGATAAGCACTGGACTTCTAACTGCAAAGTCTGAAGTTCAGCATACCAGCCACTCAGTAAAGATTTACAGCCTCAGAAACCCTATGCAGGTGCACTATGAGTCTGAATTCACTCAATGGCAGTGAGTCTGGTTTTTGTGGGTTTTTTTTAATTTGTGAGTCTTGTACTTGACGGTTGGTAATTCAAACCCACCATACTCAATAAATTGACAATGCTGTACAGGTATAGTGTGGAGGCTGGCCTTTACCTCAAAAAAACAAACAAAAAACCCCCTGGTGTAGGCCTTTGCCAGTTTCTGCTGTATAAATACTGCCACTAGGAGGTTCAAGAGGCTGGTGTGAGTTCACCAAGTGTAGCTGTAAGAGATGTGCAAACATACCAAAATGTTACATGATATTCCTCCCCACCTCCCACTGATAGACTCTCAAGAGCAATGTTGTTGATGTTGTTAAGTTAGTTCCAAATCAGAGCAACCCTGTATAGGGTTTCTGAGGAGCAGATAGTGGGTTTGAACCACTAACCTTGTGTTTCAAACCAACTCTGTGGTCCAGTGCTTTATCTTATAGCACCATACCAGGAGCATTGAAAAGAAAAAAAGGTTAGGAAATGATGTGTTTGAGAACTTATTACCTTTGTTTTCAATACAATTTAAAAGTAAATTTATATAATTTTCATAATGGCTACCTTTAATAACTGGCTCACAGAATTCCTGAAAAATGTAAAAAGCAGTTCTAGCAAGCAGGTACAAACTGGCTCAAAGTTTAGGTCTTTATATGTCAGATTTTCTTGATTCTAAAATGCATACTCCCTCACCCCCCCCTCCCATTTTTATTATGTTGGAAGTCAGACCTACCTTAGTCTCTGCACTATGGGCATATTTGGTTGTTATTCATACCAGCCTATCTGAATGAACACCTCCATCTTTCACTGTTTTAAGGCAATAAGCCTTTATAGGCCTTTGAGGAAGGAATATGAGTCCTTGCTTCTACATGGATATCTTCCATTGTCACACATCAATAAGATCAAGAAAGCGTCGGCATCAACACTCCTAATATTAGTATCATCTGCTTGGTGGACAACTGTTTGGAAGATGATCCTGTTAAGTACTCTTGTAAGCAATGCTACATCATCAGCACCCTGGATGGCCTAGTGGATTTAACTGTGTCAAAAAGTTGTGTTGGAAAGGGAAGCAAATTAAGTGGGACTTTGAATGTGAAAGTGTTTTAGGAATTCTAACCCATTTAGTGTGTTACAGTTTTCTCTTTGATGTACACAAATAAGTGATTTTTGATAAATGAATCTAAAAAAATTCACTTAATAAACTGACAATAATTCTAAGTGATTCAAAGCACTGTATTGTCGTCAAGTGTCATCAAATTGGTTCCCACTCATAGCAGTACTGTATAGGGTTTCCAAGGAGTGGCTGGTAGATTTGAACTCCTTATTTTATGGTTAGTCGTTCAATGCTTATCATATGGCACCATAACAGGACTCCTGACTACTACCCTAAAGGTTGGTAATTCAAATCCACCCATTGATGCTTTGCAAGAAAGTCCTGGTGATCTGCTGGGGTAAAGATTGCATTCAAGAAAACCCTATGATGAATGGAGTAGTTACACTCTGTAACCCATGAGGTCACCACGAGTCGGTATTGGTTTTGGTTTCAGTTAATTTCAAGATATTGTCAATGGAGACAAACAATCTAAGCCATGAAAACTAGGGTTATTTGTAAACCACTAAAGATTGTTTCATGAGTTCGCTATTAAACTAGCTCACCATTAAAGGTTGGTGTTGTTAGGTGCAGTTGAGTCAGTTCCAATTCATAGTGAAACTGTGCACAACAGAATGAAATACTGTCCGGTCTTGCACGACCCTCACAATCATCGTTACACTTAAGCCCATTGCTACTGACACTCTGCCAATCCATCTCATTGGGGGTCTCCCTCTTTTCTGTTGACCATCCACTTTATGGTCCTGACAATATGTCTGAAGTAGGAGAGATGAAGTCTTGCCATCCTGGCTTCTAAGGCACATTCTGACTGTACTTCTTCCAATGCAGATTTGATTGTTCTTCTGAGTTCCATGGTAATTTTAATATTCTCCTCCAACATCAGAAATCAAATGCATCCATTCTTCTACAGTCTTTCTTATTCATAGTTCAACTTTCACACGCGTATGAGGATATTGAAAATACCATGGTTTGGGTCAGGTGCACCTTAGTCCTCACACTGATATCTTTGTGCCTGAATACTTTAAAGAGGTCTTCTGCTCTGACAATATTCTGGTGCTCTTCATTATGTTTCAATATTCAATATTCAATATTCTGGTGCTGACAGTGTTCCACTGCTATTCATACAGATTCAGTGGTGAAGCTTTTAGAGTAGTTTGCCTCTCCTTCTTCCTAGTCTGTCTTAGTCTGGAAGCTCAAATGAAGTCAGTCCACCATGTGTGAGAGGTCCTGTTGGTATTTAAAATACTGGTGGCATAGTTCCCAGCATCACAGCAAACACAAGGCACCA